AACTGGACGCAGAATGAAAGAGAAGGTGAGAAAAAAATGAGAGGAAGGACAAGCTAGGGTTCTCCTCAGCTCCCACATATCAGTAGCACCATTGAATACAGCAGTAGTGGTGGCAACATCAGTAATTCCTCTCCTCAAACCTGTACCTTCTCCTGAGATGCTGGAGAGGTGAAAACTAAAGGGATAAGCAGAATCGTGTAAGTTTTTTTTTTTCATTGTTGGCGCTCACTCAGGTAGCTGGAGCACAGAGGGAAAAAATAGAGAGGGAAGAAATGATAGTCCTTATCTCCTTTTGCCCCTTGAGACTGGTATCCATTTGTGAGCGTGTTCTTTTTTCTTTTTCTACTAAAATTTGCATTTGCCTGACTTAATCTTATTCTTCACCAACACCTGTGGTTAACCCTGCCTTTGTTTTCACTTGTGTCCCAGCTCTGGGAGGTTACACAGGAAGGAATGAGCTTTCCTGGGGCAGGGCCTGAATTGAAAACCACACTCATTGTTAAAAGAGTTTTTTCTCTAATGTGGGAACATAAGCATGAACTCTTAATTTCATAACTATAGCCCCAAGGGCAGGATGATCATGAAGTTAAGTCTTAAAATCTTCCACATCAGAAAATGAACCTAATATAGTGATATCCATAGATAGACATTTGTCAACACGTCTCCCCCTAAGCCTATAGGTCATCTTTGACCATCCTTTTCACCTGGAATGTACATGAAAGAATATAACGCACATACTCTTTTAGTTTTAATTGAAAATATACATTTAAGATAGAGGATATATACATATGTTTCACTTGCTATATTGAAGGTAGGGGTAGTTTCATTTCTGTTTTTATATTTTCTTTTTTCCTGGCACATAATAGGTGCAGAGTAAATGCTTGCTGCTTATTTGATTGTTGTGAGGATCATATGAAATAATGAATGCAAAGTAATTTGTCAAACCTCAACATTACTAATTTTATCCTGGGGCAACTAGGTGGTTCAGTGGATAGAGTGCCCAGCCTGAAGTCAGGAAGACTTGAGTTCAAATCTGCTCTCAGACACTTATTAATTGTGTGACCTTGGGCAAATCACTTAAACCTGTTTTTCTCAGTTCCTCATCTGTAAAATGGACTGGAGAAGAAAATTGCAAACTACTCCAGTATCTTTGGCAGGAAAACCCCAAATAGGGTCACGAAGAGTTGAGCATGACTGAAACAACTCAACAACAACAACAACAACAAGGAAATGACAGTAAATATGGACTGCAGTTTTTATTATTACTATTATCTATGGTTTTCATTATGTTATGGTAAATTCCCTTTGAGTGGATGGGCATATAGTACAGCATACCTGTATACCCCAGTCAATAGATGTGCCTTTTGTTGAAAGGTCTCGTTTTCCCTTGGCATATACAGTGCTGATACTGACACAGCCCATGAAAAGATGCTGAATGGGAACGTTCCAAAGACTCAAACAGTTTCAATTTTATTCTGTTAAGGATACATCTTGTCGATCGGTAATGCTATGTGTTCAGACAGCCACCCACATGGAGAACATACTTTACATGTGAATCATTCACTGAAACAGCAGAAATCCATAGATTTCTAGAAGAAATAGCGTTTATATAAAAGTTCTTAAAATGTGAGTAGAGGGCAGTTTTGTATATATTCTATTTAGCTGTATATGAAAACTTCTAATCCTTCTGTTGTAACTCTTAATGGCATACTCTGAGCACTGAGAAAGTGGGATTAAATTAAATTGCTGTGGCTTCTGAGTGAAACGAGAAATGTAGATTATTTCAGATATTCTTGCATAGGAATGTCAGGGCTTGGGAGTCACAAGGGATCTTAGAGATCATACAACACAGCTCAGAACCCAGTGGATTTAGTCCAGCAGCTATTAAGTAAATCTGACTCTGATATTATAGGAAAGTTTGTTCATGAATGTCTGAGCATCTCAAATTTGTGAAGAACATGCTATCCAGAAAACACAGAGAGAAAAACAGGTTCATGGAATCTATTTGGATATATATAAAATCAAAGGATCTGAGTTGCACAATATTTTCCAAGTTGTTTATAAATCGCCCAATCAACTAACATTTGGTAGTAATCTCCTATGTGCCAGATTTTGTGGCAGGTACTGGAGATAAAATGACAAAATGAAAAAAAAATCCCACCTATAGGGTGATTACATTCACCTTAATTAATATAAGCTTAATTCATTAATATAGTAATATATTAACATTTGAATTAGTAATAATAATGGCTAACATTTCTATATCACTTAATATGTGCCAGGCACTGTGCTAAGCCCTTTACCATTATTATTTCATTTGATCCTCACAATAACCCTTGGAATGAAGATGCTATTATTGTCCCCATTTTACAGAAGGGGAAACTGAGGCAAAGAGCGGTTCAATGTTTTGCCCAGGGTCATATAGCTAATAAATGTCTGAGGCCAGATTTGAACTCTAGTTTTCCTGATTTCAGGCCCAGCATTCTATCCATTGTACCACATAGCTGCATCAGAATAAAGTTAGTAATATTGACAAGATCAGTTTTCTGGGAATTAAACAAAATAGTAATCTAGGCCTGACCTTTTTTCTCCCTTTAAGTTTTGTCGGGGCTTTGGTTTTACTAAAGAAGCCACAACTGAAAACTAAAAAGAAATGTGGAACTATACAGATCAATGAATATTATTGGCACCTGATCTAGAAGTGACCTTACTTGGAAAAAAAATAAAAAGGATAGGACCATTATTTTGTTAAGGCCCACTTCCCATGAAACTGGGAAACTCTACAAACCACTTTCTTCCTACAATTTGGATGATAGGCTTCCACATTAATTAAATGTTTCCCTACTTCCAGGTGTAATTGTTTTTCAATTTATTAAGGGGGACTGATGCTCTCTCAATTTTTTTTTCAAAAGTCTAGATAATAAAAACTACTGTTATTGGCTCATATTTTGAATTACATATGGCTCCAAATGAAATGACAACAGAAGCCTGTAAATCATTTTTGGCCATTCTTTTCACCTGGAATGTAAGAATATAGTGCACATACTCTTTTAGTTTTAATTCAAAATATACATTTAAAATAGAGGATATATACATATGTTTTACTTGCTATATACTTTGTTGTTTATTCCATAGAATAAATTTCAAAACAACATGAATATAGGGCATTTCTCCTTATATAAAACTCAAAAATAGTAAAAAACAAAAACAAAACTCCCACAACTCTGCTTGAAAAATGTCAGAAACACATAAAAATAAAACTTCCTGTTTTCAGAATGGTGGGATAAGGGGCAATTTTTGACAGATCATTTTTAAAATGGTTGACTGCTTAACCCTTTATGTGTCAAACCCATTGACTTTTAGCTCTGTGGGTATAGATTTAATGGAAATACCCCCAACTATACTATGTATTTTCCTATCTTCTGAATAATTAACTAGTGCATATAATATAGCTCTTTTTTCTTTGGCCAATCCAAAGTCATTATAAATATTTCTACTTTTTTTCTTATTTGTCATTAAAAAATTCCCGTCAGGTGTCTTAACACTCTTAGAACAGGCTAGACTCGTAGATTATTAGCCAATCTGATCGCTTATTCTTTTCAATGAACTATTTTTTCTTATCAATGAACTATTGACTAATTGTAACATCATAATATCATACATAGAAGAGACCTAACAGATCATCTCATTCTCTCTCCTCATTTTGTATTTGAGCAAATTGAGGAACACAAAAGTTAAATGAGATGCCCAAAGTGGCACAACAAATAAGTGACTGAAGCAGGACTTGAACCTAGGTCCTCTGGCTATGAATCTAGGACCATTTCTGCAACAACATGCACCTCCTGGAGCATGGTAGATACAATCTTGGTTTCACTTGTCTCAGCTGTTTTTATAGCTGCTTAGCATTCAGAAACTACTTCTATTGTCACTGTTGTTTGCTTTCTTTTTTTCTGTGTGTATGTTTATTTCTGCATCCTAAGCCAGATGCTCAAGAGTTTCAAAAGGATGATCTTCAGAGAAGTGAGATTTTACTGTGTAAGATTAATGAAAGATACAGATAATCATTGCCAGGGGACTAAGAGGAGACAAAGATGACTTTGGGCTGGGAAGATTTTCATAAAGTATGTAGGAATTGATCTGGGTCTTGAAGGGAAGTCAAGGCAGTGTGATGTCGGGAGAAGTGCCCTAATTTGGACACAAAACTGGTTTCAAGTCTTAAATCTAAACCTTACTAGCCACATGCCTGTGGACAAGTCTCTGAGTCCCATTTCCTCATGGGTTAAAAGATAATATTAAATCAAAGTAATCTTATAGCAATGTTGTGAGAAAAGCTCTTTGTAAAAGACAAAATGCTATGCCTTTGTGAACTGTTATCCCAGATGGTAAGACTGGGTATGGTAGGGTACATAGAAAAGAGGCAGAACATAGTCTAAGGTTGAAGAATGCACTAAGAACTAGACTGTCAGGGAACCACACACCAGAAAGATACAACTCAAGTTCACATTAGCAATGTGCTTTCATGCTAGGATGGGTCCTTAGAATTTTGTGATCCTATGAATTTGGAGAGATTTCAGTGATTTTAGGAACCTATAAATGAAAGAAATGAAGCTATCAGAAGAGGGAACATGCAATTTAAGTTTGGAAACAGCACATAAGTGGTCGTGGCATGGACTCCTTAGTCATGAATGCACAGATCTGAGCAAAGAGGTAGGGGACAGAATATGGCATGGCATGTTCTCAGACATGACCACTATAAGAGTTGTTTTTGTTTAACTGTTTTTCCTTACAATAGAGGGTTTAGTTCATGGCAGTATCTTTTAATGTTTTTTCCTAACAGAGTAATTTTTTAAATTACTATGAATAATCCTTAAATGAAAATAATAATATTTTTGCAGCATTTTTATATCCTAAAATGGTAAAGAAAGATAAAGGAGTATTTTTAGAAATAAATATAATATAAATACAAAAGATATCAATAAAATTAAAAAAATAATGCTTAGGTGTTTGCTTTGGCATCACATATACTAAAATTGGAATGATACGAGAAGGTTAGCATGGGCCCTGTGCAAGGATGATATGCAAAATTTATGAAATGTTCTACATTTCAAACAAACAATAATGCCTAGGTTTTCAGTCATTTTAGTCATTTCAGATTCCTTGTCACCCCATTTGGAGTTTTCTTGACAAAGATAATGGAGTGGTTTACCATTTCCTTTTCCATCTCATTTTGTACATGAAGAAACTGAGGCCAGTGACTTAACCCAGGGTCACACAGCTAGTATGTGGGTCAGATTTGAACTCAGAAAGATGAGTCTGCCTGACTGCAAGCTGTCACTCTATCCACTGTGCAACCTGGCTACCCTGTAATGCCTAAGAGGTTGGAATTTAAAATACAACAGGAAGGAAGTTATAAAAAGTTACTACTATTCATACCCAAATACACAAAGAATTGCCATCAGGATAACTGTTCTCTTTGCACATCTGACTCTTTGCCACCTCTTCCATCTTAAGATAATTTTTATTACCTGAGTCTAGATAACATACTGATAATTCTGGGTAAAATATTATGTGTAAGCATAATATTTATCTTTTAATGTTTTTCTAACAATGATTTTTGACTTACTGTGAATAATTCTTAAATGAAAACAATAACATTTTATAGCATTTTTTCTCATCCTAAAGCATTTTATAATTTACAAGGCATTCTCCTCAAAGATGCCTCTATGGGAAAAAGTGCATGTATATTGTCTCCATTTTACAGACAAGGAAATTGAGACTCAGTGAGAAAAGTGATGGACAAAAATAAGCTCCCATACTTTCAGCCTACAAAACAATAACACTTGGAGGCCTAAAATTCATAACAGCCTTAATATCTTCCAAAATAATTTTACTTTTCAATTTACGTTATGTTCTTTTTAAGTATTATTTACATATTTACATTAGCAGTAGTAATCCTGAACAGTGATTTAATTTCTATTTCTTATCCTATATATTGAGAGTCATCATATCTGATTGGATAGACAACTGACTTCTGGAGTCAAGAAGACCTGAATTCAAGCTGCTTCTCTGACATTTACTGATATTGTGACTCTAGGCAAGTCACTTAACCTTCCCAATGTCTAAGGCAACTTTCTAAGATGTTGTCATAGAAAAGATACAGAGCTGCCTTGGTAGGGCCTGTTTCCTAACCAGGAGTTCCCAGCATCAATGAAATAATGAGTCCCATCCAAAATATTGAGAAAAACAGATCATAGGATTTGAAGTTGGGAATGACTTGCAGAGATAATCTAATGAAACTACTTCCATTTTTACAGATGAGGAAATTGAGGCTCAGAGAGCTTAAGTGAATTACCCAAAGTCACAATGGTGATGAATGGCAGAGATGGGATTCTAAGTCAGGTGCCCTGTCTCCAAATCTAGTGTTGAGGAAAGGAACATGTACTGGGCTGGTGCTATAACCCATTTCGCATTCAGAGACTTATTGAACTCCTAGAGAAAGGAACTAAATCTAAATAGAGTCTGTGTGTATAATGCCCAGTGCAGTTGGCTGGGGTCAGATAAGGGAGGAATTAAATGTTTCTGAATGGCTTCTGATGATAATGTTGATGTTACATTCTGATTTGGTACCAGTGATTAGATCATTGCTCTCTTTTCACTGATAACCATTTCTGCAGGAAGTTTTACAAGTTGTGATACTGGCAATTTGAGAGGTGACCCCCTGGAACAAGGGGAAAATGAAGGCTTACAATGTGAGAACTTTACCAATTCCCAATATAAAACTCAACAATATGAGCATATGGGTTATATAAGTCAGACTTGCCCCTAGGCAGATCTTAATTTATGTGGCTGGCACCTCTGTGGAAGAAAACCAAGCTCTGACAGCATTACAAGGGTAATATTTTTACAAGGACAGACTACTCTTGCACACTTTCTCTAATGTATTAGGCACAACACAGTTATCCTTCAGCTCCAGGCATGCATATCTCCTTCTGCCACCTATCTTTACTCATGGGCAAACATTTATTCTAGCTAGAGGAAGGAAAGTGACACTCAACATTTATATTTGAGTTTCACTATGTCCCCACTCACAGCTTCCCAGGGCACTCAGGCAGAACGTTCTCTTCGTCCCACATATGTCTTTGAAAGGTGTTTCCTTCCTCGAATGCCTTAGAGGAACTGGGGAAGTTGAGTAACATCTGCATTAGCAGCACTGTCTTTTGGGAACTGAGATTGATTTTACTCATTTTGGAGTGCTGGACACTTGGCAGTAGGGGCAGAGTGGTGCTATTCATAATCAAGATTCATTTAAGCAGTTGCTTTAGGGAGTTTACCAGACCTTGTAATATTTGGTGATTGAACGTTCAAAAACCATCCTGACTTCTTAAAGTACTGTCCATTTGACCTAGTAACGATTATTTTTCATTAATGATTTGTCCTTTAAGAAAATGAAAGGTCAGACTCAAAGGATCTGAGATCTAGAACTAGGAACTCAGTGGCGCCCTGGTTTAACCCTCATTTTACAGATGAGAAACTGAGTCCCAGAGAGTTTTAATTATTTGCCTAAAGTAGACAAGCATGAAGCATGGAGGGTGGACAGTGGTGAGCTCCACCCAAGGTAGCCACCTCAAAATTTCCCTCATGGCTACCCTCTTCTAGACTTCATCAATGCTCTCTAGAGTCTTTTATCAACCAGCAAGATCATATCAACACTGAAACCTATCTCCTCACTGTAGCCTGGGCCCTGCCCCACCCTCCACCTTTCAGCTTCTTTTTGTGTGTTGTCTTCCCACATTAGTTTGTGAGCTCCTTAAGGGCAGAGATTGCCTTCACCCACCTTTCTTTGTATCCTCAGTGTTTAGTACTGTGCCTGGCTCATAGTAGGATTAATAAGTGCTTTTCCATTGACTGGTAAAGGAGCTTATTTCTCTCCTTTCCTGTTCCACAGTAGATATTATTATGCTTACTGACCAGGAGAATGAATCCTTCATATTCTCTCTCAGGGGGATATCCATGTAAGCAAATCGTGCTGAATCTATTGCCACTCCTTAAAACTCTGGATTTTATAGTAGAATCATGCAATTCTTAGATAAAAGCCCTTTCAATGATTTCAAGCAGCTAGCTGGGAGCAGATTTCCTTCCCTGTTGTGCTCCGAGGCAGTTCCTACAAAGTCAGCAGTAGGATTAAGTATGACATTCTAGTAATCTCACTTTCTAACACCTCAACACATGGAAAGGGAGTGCTTTTATGTTTCATAGGAGTGACCCAGGAAAACAGAAAGAAGCTCTGAAATTCATTTAAAGGTGGAAACCAGATTTAGGCTTTGTGTCTCCCTTTTTCAATTCCTCACTTTTGGGAACTGGCTATTTTATATTGTTAACATGGTGAGCATCGATATACCTTTAACATAGGGGCAACTAGATGGTACAGTGTATAAAGTGTTAGACTTAGAGCTAAGAGGACGAGTACAAATTCAGACAATTACTAGTTGTGGGACTCTTGACAAGTCACTTAGCCCCACTCATATTTAGTTTTCTCATCAGAAAAATGGAGATAATAATAGCACCTACCTTACAGGGTTGTTGTAAGGACTGAATGAATTAATATAAAGTGCTTAACAAGCCTTAGAACACTATACAAATGTTAGCTTCCATTAACATATGCCAGCGAGCATGAAACCTACCTAAAAGGCTAGAAGATAAAGAAGCAAAAGTCCTGTCCACTGACCTGTTGGACCAATGATTCGGGCAACATATACATAGTTCAGATATAGCTCCAACATCTATTTTGATTATCACTTAAGTTAACTTTGCTCTAAACAAGAATGTGTTGAGGACAAGGGACCTCTGCTACAGGTAGACTTTTGAGAACCAAAAGGGCTTAGAAGATATTGCCAAGGATGCAACTGTTGCTGACTTTGTGACAAAGAACCATTATCAACTAAATCAAATGGTGTAATCTAGTCCAAGTTTTACAGAACAAATCTTAATTTTATTAAGGGGATTTGCTTTGTGAAGTTTGGATTCAGTCAAAGGGCCACACTTGAGGACCTAGAGGGCCACATGTGGCCTCAAGGCTGCAGGTTCCCTACCCTTGGTTAGCCTATGCCACGGGACCTCCAGCAACTTGCCCACTATATAAGATTCTCACCACGGACAGACACAAAACACTTTTGAGTATCAGAATCAGGAGGTTTTGCTTTATGAAAAGGCAATGGAAAGCTATTAAAAATTTCTAAGTAGAGGAGTGATGCCCTAGTTTAGACTTTCTTTGCTTATTGCAAAAATCACCTAATTGATGCCCCTGCCTTGTGTCCCTCTTTTATGCCAGCTGTTTTCCACACAGTTAATAAACTTTTGATCCTAAAGCAGAGATCTAGCTGTGTCCCTCCTAAGAAGTTTCTATGACTCCCTATTCCTTAATAATGGAATTTATGTAGCATTTCAAGAACTTCAAGCACTTTCCATAGATTATTTCCTTTGTTCCTGACAATAACCCCAAAGCAGGTGCTATTCTTCTCATGCCTGGAATGGTCTTCCTCCTCTACTCCAATTGCTGACCTCCCTGGCTTCCTTTAAGTCCCAACTAAAATTCTACCTTCTACAGGAAGCTTTCCCCAACCCCTCTTGATTCCAGTACTTTCCCTCTTTTAATTATTTCCTATTTATCCTGTATACATTTGTCTGCATGTTGTCTTTCCCTTAGATTTTAAGCTCCTAGGGCATCGATTGTCTTTTGTCTCTTTTTGTATCTTCAGCACTTAGCACAGTGCCTGATGAATATTTGGAGCTTAATAAATGTTTACTGAATGAATGAATGCTGTAGTAAATCTGGCCTACTTATTTCTTGTACATGACATATTCCATTCCCACTCTTGTGCCTTTGTGTAGGCCATCTCCCCTGTGCCCAGAAATGTCCTCCTTTGTCACCTTCACCCCTTGGAAATACAAGATTCCTTTAAGGCTCTCTTCAAGAGGTCTTTCCCTCATTCCTTCTCTTATTAGTCCTCATTTGCCCACCCTCTAAAATCACTGTATATTTTTTTAAGTATCCAATATTTGCTTATATGTGAATATGTTTTGTATCCATCAGGTAAGCTCCTTGAAGCC